ATTCTTACAATCATATATATAAGTATTTCAGTCGTACTAGTAAAACTCTTGTTTCTGTAAACTTTGAAGATACCTATTTCTATTAAGATAACCATGTTTATAAACAGTTATTTTATTTATTTAAAATATGTTTATTTATTATAGAGGTGGCTCTTGACATACGATGTTCTGATACACAAATTTTGTGGTACTTCGAATTTTTAATTTTAAACATTTCCTGCATCATCAATGGACTTTAATGGATCATGTGGCGGGGCATTCAAGGAAGAGTGCTGATATACGGATATTCCAGCTTTCTAAAGAATTAATCATTTAGGCACTGGGAGAAACAATATAGATGGGAAGGAAGAAATTTTACTGGGAAACAGAACTGGATATCATTCTAAAGAAGAGTGTGCTTATTAAGTATTATAATAAATAACACTTAATTTTCGCTGGTTAAATATAAGTATTTATTATGCCGCCCAACCGGCAGAGTGGTTAGCGTCGCTGACTGCCGTGTCGAAGGGTACGTGCTTGAATCCCAGAGAAGGTATGGATGTCTGTAAATGTATAGTGTCGGTGCGGCTTGGCAGCATTCTAAATATGCGGCGAGCCGAAAGTTCTCTCGTGTGGTTTGGTGGAAGGGGAGAGGGGTGGAGGACCCTCGGACGCGGAAATATTAATTATTATAAAAAATACCAAAGCCACGTTACTAATTAACTTATCAAGCGTTATTATCAATTGAGGGAGAAAATGTTGGAACAATTTTTCATCCAATAATTAAATATAAGTTTAATGCATAAATGTTCTTTAGACTACATTTGCTTTCAGCTGTTATACTCATGGAGGTAGGAAGTAAGATGGAGTCGCCCTAAACAAGTTTCTCCCGTACCCTGCTCTGAAGCACCGGCGATCCCTACGTGGTGACCAAAACATTGGGTCATTTACCATTGAAGTTCAATGGGTTTTGACATGATCGGATGTAAACATTTTGTAATTACGTAGTAAATATATGCATATAAATGTATATATCTTCTTTTTCTACGAACACTTTCAGAATCCTAAGTATATGAAAACAATACATTTTTAAACAACATTTCAATTCTGAATGGAATTAAATGCTATTACTTTTCACAGACAGTTTTTTTCAGAATGGTTTAATTTGAATGAAGTATTTTCACATTCATTAATAATTACATTAGAAAAAAATTTTAAGGTAATTCGATTTTATTCCGTTAAGGTACAAAATTAGATCAAAGTTTATTGTATTATTAATATTAAAATTATGCATTATTTCTTTTCTATTTATAGAGCTTCTTCCTAAAATACTTTCTTAAATATGACATGATTTTTTGGCTTCTGAGGCTTCTTTTAAATCGAAAAATGTAAGTCAATTTATAATTAATGCTCTATTCGGTTCATTTTGAATTAGAGAATTATTAGGAATTAGCGAAATACTTTAAATAGTACTTGACTTTCTCTGAACATTTCTGAAAGGGAATAAAATAAGTTTTTTTTTTTTTTTTTTTTGAAGTATTATTTAAAACTTGTAACTGAGTTATTATAAAATTTAAGGGGAATAATTCTTTTAATTATACTTATCAGATTTTTTTTAACCCTTCATTTCAACAATACATAATCCAAAACTCTTTATTACGTTCTTAAGTGCGCATCTCATAGCATTTGCTTTACAATACCTTTTAACAGATTGCTTTCCAATACGAACAATTCTTGCTTAAATAGTTTTATAACGTATTTGTCAACAGGATTTCAATTTATGTGTACAATTCAATATTAAGGTTATTATATATTTAGATAACATTTATAATTATTATAAATTAGATACATTTAATAATTAGATTTCTTCACAGTACTTTCACAGTTGTTTATAAGTGAATAAATTCTTCATTTCAAATACATTTTATAAATAATTTAATGAATATTTATGTATTTTGTCAAAGGCAGATACATAGTTTTTTCAATAATATGCAACAATAATATATGGATGTGAAAAAAAATTGTTTTATTTAAAACATTTTGGCGTTTGGAAAATAAAATAAAAATAGCGAATACTCTATCAAGGGTATCGAAAGACGTATACAATTTTAAATGTACCGTAAGGTATTTTTCATTCTTTAAGCATAACATTTTTCTTAAAATCTATATTTTTGTAGTTCAACAGCTTAGAATTTTATAAAACAAATTCATAATCAAAATCGCTGTTGTTAGTTATCGAAAAATAACGAAGATGTGATTTTTGCGTAACTGTCACTAAACTATACAAATTGCTATTATCCATCACACTATGAATGTTTCTTTCATACGAAAGTGTCTCTTTTTCGATTTGTATGGAACTGTCGTGTGTCGAAATACTATCAGAATCCTGTCAAGCTAGCTTCTGAATGTAAACAAAGAACACCCCATCTGGTGACCCAAGCTTCAAAGCAGTGCTTCACTTCTAGTGTCGATTGGCCCCTCCTTCCTTTCCCACCTCCATGGTTATACTTAATGATTACTACCAGTGGCATACTTAAAGGGAGAAGGACAAGGCAGTTCGCCTGGAGCGGCACACTTTGGGGAGCGGTATTTTCTTGCGAAATATATTTTAAGGATTAATTATATGGAACTTCAGAGTAGAAAGAAGGATTGGGATTTATTGGATTATACTCTACAGTTATCAGTCTAAAGGAAGGGATGTGGTCTTGGAGCACTTAGATTCTCCATTAAGAGCTTAAAAATTCGGAACTGGTTCGTATTCATATTATGAAAAAGAAACGGGCTCCTATTCATTCACTTCTGCATGACTACAACGTAACATGCCCTACATTATGTGTAAGATAAATCACGAAAACGCTCGTGCTATCAGCTGATTGTTTAGGATTTGACCTCTGGTCGAACTATCAGTATTAAGCCATATTATACACTCTGTTTGGGAGGTAAAGAAAACTATTATACAAAATTTAGTTGAGTAGAATTGTTGTACACTGGAAAAAATATTCAAAGAAATTTCAACTGTTTCGTGTTCTTGCTATGCCTTCTTTACTGCATACAAACTTTGAATGAAAATGCAAACGTCAATTTAATTATGATCACTGGGACATAAATAAAGAAAATTTCTTCTCTAAAAGAGAAATACCCAAGAGTTTTATTTCTGTTACTTGCTTGGAGAGGTGAAGCAGAGATGTGGAAGGACAGTCGCTCTAAACTTTTACAGTTTATTCTAAAATACAAGCTCCAGAATGTATTTCAAATATTGTAAATACTGCTGCGATTGTTTTTGCAATTTCTATAAGCAATACTCGTTGTAAACTGAATTATTCTAAATACAAATTCAAAAATCACTTCGAAAAAAAGGAGTATCTTGCACTCAAGAAAACTTACTGTATTGTCTACAGAAGACTAACCAAAGTTATAGAACAAACTTTTAAAATGGCTGAATGATTTTTGCTAACAGAAAAATGAGTAAAATAACACTTTAGAATACCAGAATTAAAGTTTTACTATAAAAATAAACACAGAGCTTTTATTTAATTCTCTGTATGATATTTTTATAATTTTTTTTTAAATTTCTTTTTGCGTGTGAAATAATTTTCTTTTTATGTGCATTGAGAGGGGGGCAAAAGCTTCGGCCCTTAAATTAGCACTCATCTGAACACGTTATTCTCCCTTTCAGAACAATATTCAATAAAACGCAAAATATTCCAAACCGTATTATAAAATCGAGTTCATGTTATCGATTTTGCGCAATTTTAGGTGTTTTGAGTATATTTAAGATAGGCTAGATAGTCTAAGCTATGATGTTTAGTAAGCTAGATGTACTAGATGCACTTTCTACCTCAGATATATTTCAACTTGCTATGAATTTATCAAGCCTATTTTTTTTTTAATTATGGAGTGCCTGTTTTTAATTTTTTATCCGTTTAAGTGTTATTGATCGTTAACTTCAACATCATTCAGTGCTTGCATATAGAAGAGCATTGGTTCGTATAACACACCATGTATTATTGCAATGTTAAAAATTATTTTTGCTGCTAATGGAATATCGTACTATTAATAATAATCTATGAATACCTCAACCATAGTGTGACTGATACGCAGGCTAGCACTTTGCTTTTTACCCCCCCCCCCGATGTAGTCCACTGCGGCTTTCAAATTCTGGCGCTCAGTGCCTGCCTAAATTCTAAAAGCTTCGCCGTCTCTAAATTCTGCTGCCTGATGATGCGGCCGCAGCGGTTGCCTCTTTTGCTCTGCTGATGCAACTTTGCTGATACAACTATTAAGTAAGGGAAACTAGTAATAGTAAGGGGAAAAGAAGAGAAGAACTGAAATGATGTGTTCAATATAATAGCCTCATCACTGAAATAAATTTTAAGGCTTTAATGACCAGAGCTAGATTAACCATTAAGCAAAATAAACACGCGCATAAGGCACCAGAATCTTTCAAGTGCTTAAAATAAATAGGCCTTAGGGCCAATAAAAGTCTTAATTCAGACCCGAACCCGCAATGGGCATGATCGCATTCAAGAGCTGCTTGGAAACGTGAAGTGCAAAATATGTGTCGAGTGATTTTGATATGTATTTTGTGTTATGGAATTTAAGTTACTAATATTCTAATCACGATTTATGTTTTATTACGTGTGTATGATCCTGGTGGGAATATATCAGCTTAACGCGAAATTTTTTATTCTGGGTCCTCTTACGTAATTGTATATCTAATTTTCGTTATTTTCTATAAACAAACACAGAGCTTAAACAGTTACATTTGCATCCAAACAACCTTATCTATGTCTAGAACAATGAGATTTGTATTTATAATGGTACAAGAAGATTATCTGTACACGTTGAATAAGATACCTACTCAAAGTACTCATTAAAACTGCACTACTGGTAACCGGGCTTGGAAATAGTACTTTCTGCATTCTGTGCATTATAATATTTTTAATATTAACATTAACTGAAAAACTTGTACACATTTTTGCATGTCAAATTTGATTTCCTGTCGTCCTTCGCTCTTTCAGAAACCGGCGATTGGAGAAAAGCTTGTGCTGCCATCTGCCGACGAATCTGATACTCTGAAATCTTCAAAATTTATTCAGTCTCCTTTGAAAACTATTCAAATCAAAAAGGGCGCAAATGTCTTAGGTACGTTGCTTATTGCGTTAATATTGATGAGTTTTAATAAATTTTTTTTTTCAGGAGAGCATTTTATATGTTGAATTATTAAAGTTCAAAAAATCTTTTATTAAATTTATAATTGTGCTATATTTTATATACTTCTTTACGTATTTTACTGACCACTACCGTAGGTTCTTTTTTTTTTTTAATCCTTTGTAAATAATATTGTAAACATTTATTAGCTTTCTCAGTTTTCTGTTATCTAGCACTGTTTTTAACAAGCGCCTGGCCCCAGCCACCACCCCTGTTCTTATTGGTTGCCGTTTATGACGTCAGGCTGAAAAGATTCCATTATGTGTTTCGTTTGAGTTATGTCAAGGGGAACTTATAACTACTTTGGATTTGTTTATGTCCTGTGTTAATGTGAATTTGTACAATGTAACAGAATATTTGCAATTAAAACGAACCTAACAGAATAAGAAAATATGTCGGCACTTTTTATATAAATTGTTAAATCATGTTAATTGGAATAGATAAAACTTATAATTGCGTAAATATCGTTTGACTAAGCAATCTGTATTCAATGCAATTCATAGCGCTTTACTGATATTTAAGAAATATATTGTATAATTTCATATAGCAGGGGCCCATTAACAAGATTTGCTTCGTCAGCAATGTCAAGCACTGAACTCTTACTGTGTAAATAATGTCTGCCGCAGTTTTCATGAATTAGCGGTTTATTTTGCAGAACAGTGTTTTTAAAAGTGATATAAATGTAAAAGCTAGTTATTGCTTAATAAAAATTAACTGTTTGTTAACAAAATAACCTTCCTTTTATTTATTGTTTGGTATCAAAATTGTTCGTAGTCAGATTAATTTTTCACTTTCTAATTCTAGGCATTCATTTCTCTTATTTATGGTTAAAAATAAGGTAAAGTGATAAGATATTTTTAAAGCACTAATAATAGCGTTTATTTGACTTTGTCAATTGGAGTTATCATGCTGTTTTTTTATGCATTATTGTTTTGTTTCTTAACTTTTATATCTTATAAAAAGTGTTTATTGTCAAATGACTTCGATATTCATCTAATGACTAAACGGTTATCGACTGCACATCGATTTGCACCTTTTTTCTAAATATATTGTTAATATCAATATATTTCTTAAGCTGCTTTTTATTTTTGTAATTTTTCGCAAATATGGCAAATTATTCTATCATCGCCCATGGCTTTGCCTGTTTCAGCGCTAAAATGACCTCGGGTTCAAGCTTTTGGCGCACAATAATGCCGCGGAGAATTCTTTTCGTCACTGTATGACATCAGAAGTCGTGTCCAATAAGAGCTTGGGGTGGTGGCTGGGGCCAGGCGCTTGTCTTTTTTTAGCTTTTACTAACGCGTGTTTTATGTATGCGTACTTGCTTGTTTTGGGTTTATTTATTAATATTAGACATTTCAGGATATCACTGATTTATCACTTAATTTTTATCATATCTCTGCAAAGGAAAGTTGACGGCTGAAGGAAAAAAAGATGAAAAAGCCAAAGATAAAAATTGTTTGGAAGAGAAGTCCTAGCCCTTAGATATAAAATAGCTGCTGTCTTTTTGAAAAATTTATTCGTGAACAGATTTGTTCGTGATCCAAGATTCCACTGTATGTTGAATGAAATGCTGTAAATAGTTATGTTTGCAACATTTTCTAAGTGTATTTTCAGATTCATAAGCAACTTTAATCAAATTTTTTTCTTTGCGTTTAAAAAAAGTCCCATATTCTAGAGCAATTTGTGATCCTCTAATACTAACAGCAAATAAATCTAATTTCTTTTCAATGAAATAATTCATATAAAACAGCAAATAAATCTAATTTCTTTTCAATGAAATAATTCATATAAAATATAAAAGTAATTTTAGTGGCACTAGATGCAACCTCCCGGGTATCGAAACTGCCTCATAGTGGATGACACAAGAACACTGTAATTGTCTCAGGAACTGATTAAATTATTTTGGGGCCTTAGATATAACGTCCTAATAACATGTTTAATAAACCAGAATCATTAATCTGTCGATTTTTCTGGTGATACGGTTGTTTGTTTAATTTTGTGCATATATTTTCTCTCCTCTTGCTTGCACGGTTGTCGATAATCGTCTCTATTTTTCCCTCCACCTGAAATGTTCGGTTTTAGTGCCTATTTGATATATTTGTGAATTCTTGGAACTTCATGGGAAATTTACTTGTTAGCGAGCAACTGATGAGGAAGTAATTTGGATGATCCCTTTCCTCCCATATGTATTTATCTGAGGATACAATATTTCTTTCTTGGTATTATATGGACGACATGGCCTGCTAGATGCCAATTTATATGGTGGTGAACATAAGTTTTCTCTGCATTAATTTGAGGCAGGAAATGAGAAGAAGGCTTCCATTTTCACCGTATTTTCATTCTTCTTCCCGTTCTTGTTTTCATGAATATTTAATTTTCTACTTGAGATAAGATTTCGTACTAGGCAGATCTAAAATTTTTACTTCATCACAAGATATTACTGATTTTGCTGCTCCATCCGCAACTTCATTTACTGATATTCCTGCATGTGCTTTTACCCATGATATTTCGAAGCGAATATCGGAGTGATATGCTGTAATATATATATATATAAAAAAAAAAAAAAGTTGTTGTTTTAATGATGACTTATGTTTTATCTTTTTTAGTGCTAGTAGTGCAGATTGACACTCGGTATATATTTTAATATGTTTTTGAAATTTTTTCATGGTATTTTCATTTTGTTAGCGACCTAATTACTTTATTTCAAAGATTAGAATAATGCAAGCACATCTTACACTTGCTTACACTTTGGAACCATTTCTATAAATACACGTATGTCATTCTTTGACCTTGGTGGTGGAATGTACAGTAGACTTTTGTATCTGTTGCTAGATGTCTTTGATAAGGTTTATATTGGGGATTCATATTTAGCGTGCTTTTTGTTTTTTTTTTCTTTTATATCATTTAAGGCCCCAATTGTTGCCCTGAATTTTTCATATTTTGTTGGCAATTTCTTTTTTGATTTTATGAATTTAAGATGTTCATTTCGATTGAGCTTTTCATCGATTATTAATCCGTTGACTTCATTTTCGATTTTTTGACTTTCTGTTGTTCTTCTGTATTTAAGAAGCCTTGAAATATCCCGCGAGGATTTTGGAAAAGTAAGAGTTTAGGATTTTTCTTGGTTTATTATTAGTTTTAGTCTGATACGTTAAATTAAATAGGCTGCAGATTTCGTTTATATTTCTTTCTAAATGATCTCTGTTTTTTTTTTTTTTTTTTTTTTTTCCTGTTGTGAAGAAAGCTGAGAAAGCAATTCCTTTAGAGCAGAATGGCCAACAAGTCTATTGCGAATCTGTTTTTGATCGATTACAGTCGACAAGAGCAACCGCAGCTTAATCGTGTCTCAAAGAGAAAAAAAGATGATTGATTTTAGTTTCATAGATGAGGATGACAATACGCCTTATGCGCCAGTCTTTGACAGAGTGTGAGAGATTATTATTAATTTTTTTCCCTTACTGTTTGTCATGTAGTATCATATTTTACTACTTTGAATATACGGAATCCTGCAGCTAGCAAATAAAAAACGGAACCAAACTGACTACTACTTGAATATGTGAAATAAATGATTTGGATGGAAAATTCTGAAAACCGTATAAAATAATTCGGCCGATTATGAAAGAGCGGTATTCCATTCGGTACTTATTACAAATATAAATCTTATATTTAGAAACATATATTAGTATATCTTTTTGCATATATCATCTCACACGTGCTTGTTTTGAAGTCATTGTTTCAGTATTGCACTTAAACGGTAATGTTCTATCTAAATCTAATTTCGATTCTAAACTCCGTTGAAACGGAACATTTTTTGCTCTTAAATACTTACAAATTTGAACATAGATTCACATTTCAAATTCCAAACACTGATATTTGTATTCGCCCCCCCCCAAAAAAAAAGAAAACAGCTTTTTATGGAGAAGCAGAACATTCTTCGCTTTCGTCTAATGCTCTATGCATATAATCTTCATTTAGATTAAGTATTGTGCATATTTTTTAAAAAGCAAGATATAAACCATAATCGGCACGTGTAACTTTTAAAATTTGCGTATTGCGGAACACATTTATGAAGTAGCGGCTCACCTGTCACCTCATTAAACTCTTCGGTGCTCTGCATCTTAAGATTCATAATTTACTATTTCTAAAAAATAATTAGTAGTATGGAGGTTCCTTGGAATACGGAGCGCCTCCTAATCGCGACTTAAACAACTACATAAACCTACCTCCGATTCCTGTTATCCTCTTTTGACTTTTTCTTCTGAAATTCGCCAATCGTGTTTTCCCCCAGGTCTCAGTGTGAATATCGTCGATTCCATGGGTGTAGTGATCACTTCTGTAACACCTGGAAGTGCCGGAGATCAAGATGGTCGTATCAAACCGGGAGATATCCTGGTTTCTATCAATGGCTGCTCCTTGCTCGATGCAGAACCTCGCCAAGTGGGAGAGATCTTAAGGAGTGTCGACAAAGCAACATCCGACGTCGTGTAAGTACCAGTGCTTAAATTGCGCCGGAGCCCACCGGAGCTCGGCTCCGGTGCTTCTCAATTTTTAAGATAAATTACAATTTTAACCGGAGCCTTAAATAAGATGAGCTCCGGTACTTCTTTTTATAAAACTGAACCACAATTCAAAGGGGGAAAGATTTAGAATTCCTAACGTTTAACAATAAGCAGACCTTGCAAATCTCTATTTCTCTAGAAATACGAACTCATGAGAACATGAGACGTTCAAGTAAAGTTCCTCGTTAAGAAAAGCAATAAATTTGGGGGAGTTTATTTAGGAACGCCTAAATTTCTCGCCATGCCATTGTATCTAGTGTACTGTTATCGATGCTTACAGTTAGTTATCTTCGCAGGAAGGAAAATGTGTGTTCTTAAATGTGCGTTAAGTGACAGCGAGTACAATAAGAGTGAAATACTGAGATAAACTGCTTATGCACGTCTTATACATCGTCTTCCCACAGTATCCACTAATGGCGGGGGGAAGCGTAACCAGCAACTTTACATTTAGGAGTCCGATTCAGAACTCATTTACCCCTGACACCCATCTGCCTGATGGCTATAATTATATCAACAGAGAGCCGCGGTCAAAGAGGACGTTCTCCCTCACCAAGATTTCCCTGATTTTTTTGTTTCCACCCACTCATACCCTCATTCTATTTCGCCCTGAAATTTTCATCAGCTATACTTTAAGTATATTTAAATTTTGTGATGATAAAAGAACTTCCCCCTACGATCAGAACTTAAATTGGGCCAGACCCCACCGGATCTCGGCTCCGGTGCTTCTTAGTTTTTGTAATAGATCATAATTCTAGCCGGAACGCACCGGAGACCTGAATAAGAAGGCTGCGGCACTTCTTTTATGTAATTGAATAACAATTTCAGTAGAAATTTTATCTAGAAAATTTTATTTTAACAATAAAATTATATTAAAAATCGCGTATTAAATTTCAATTTATCTTTTTACATTTTATTTAATTTTAATTAGTTAATTACTTCAATCTTAATTATTTCAATAAATAAGGATTAATTATCTAATAATTATAAATTAAATTATAATTAATTAATTATAATAATTATTGATTAAATAACGATTTATAAACATTAATTAAATAGCTATTGATTAATTTGATAATAATTAACTATTTAATTTTAAAATGATTAATGAGTTTAATAGTCATTTTATTTATTTATTTACTCCTGTTCCTCTCTGCTGACGGTCTTCCATAGGGCTGCGGCACTTTTAATCTTAGAAATTAAGCCCTGGTAAGTAAGCCCTGGTATGCACTTTGCAGGTGTTATTGCTTCGATAGCAGACATTGCTATGCATACATTCCGCTTATTTTTCTGGTTTTGAATGTTTGAAAAACTTCTAGTTAAAAACTTATTTTAAACAATATATCTGTAAGGGTTGCATATGTGTCAATCAGATTACTGACATACAGGAGCAGATCATGTCATCAAGATTACGTTCTGCGTTTCATTCGGTAGCCCCCCGCCCAAACTGTTTTAAGATCACTGCTCATGAACAGGACCTGCCTAATATCTGCTAAAAGTAGGAAGCGTGAAGAGTCCACTGGCTCATGTTAACACTTTATGCTTTTAAATTACAGCTGAAATTTCACACTTAAATGTCTAAAAAAGGTTGCTGCTGCTGGTAATTCATTTCAGTATAGTTAGTATATTCCTCTTTCTTTTAGTTCTGCATTCATATGTAACGTATACCCCTAGTATTCTTTGTTACTGTTCAATAGCTTGGCTTCTTAATTTCGAAGGAAAGATTAATTTGGTATCAACTTACACTTACGGCATTTGGCTACATACAAAATTATTACTAAACGTTAGGCGCTATCAGTCTCCTGCAGATGAAAGGATGAAATGAGGAGTTGGTATGACTATTAATGTATTAATGTATACTCAGTGGGTAGGATCCTTGCTGCGTATCTGCAATCCGAGAACCATTCAAGATATGCAGGAATACCTGGTTGTCCAGCGCGGTCATAGGGCGAGTATAGGTCCGTTCGTCATTTCCTCAATTTATACATTCATCTGCGTACTACTATGGAGTGGACTGTTATGTGTGTGGGGTCGGTCAAGCCCAAATCTCCACAGGTGGATGGGTGGCTTAATGAATGTGCACAATTATTCTATTACATTAAAATCCAATCAATTAAAGTAATCTAAGACGACTTTCAGATTCGCAATGTAGTAATTTATTTACACTTCGAACCTGATTTTTACATTATGTCATTTCATTTCAGTTTAATTAATAGTTAAAATTGAAATTTGCATCTTACCTTTATGCCTCGTTTCGTCAGATACCAGCTCAGTCCAGAGATTTATGCAGATTTAATTGGCAAGGATCATTTATTAGCAAGGAGCATAGTTTAAACTGAGAGGAAGAATCATAGCCGCATGACTTGCGGTAGAACCATGGAGGTAGGAAAGGAAGGAGGGGCCAGTCGGCACTAGAAGTGAAGCACTACTTTGAAGCTGGGGTCACCAGATGGGGTGTTCTTTGTTTACATTCAGAAGTTCGCTTGACACGGTTCTGATAGTATTTCGACACACGACAGTTCCATACAAATCGAAAAAGGAACACTTTCGCATGAAAGAAACATTCATAATGTGATGGATAATAGCAATTTGTATAGTTTAGTGACATTTTAGCAAAAATCACATCTTGGTTATTTTTCGATAACTAACAACAGTGCGATTTTGATTAAGAATTTGTTTTAGAAAATTCTAAGCTGTTGAACTACAAAAATATAGATTTTAAGAAAAATGTTATGCTTAAAGAATGAAAAATACCTTACGGTACATTTAAAATTGTATACGTCTTTCGATACCCTTGATAGGGTATTCGCTACTTTTATTTTATTTTCCAAACGCCAAAATGTTTTAAATAAAACAAGTTTTTTTCACATCCATATATTATTGTTGCATATTATTGCAAAAAGCATGTATCTGCCTTTGACAAAATACATAAATATTCATTAAATTATTTATAAATGTATTTGAAATGAAGAATTTATTCACTTATAAACAACTGTGAAAGTACTATGAAGAAATCTAATTATTAAATGTATCTAATTTATAATAATTATAAATGTTATCTAAATATATAATAACCTTAATATTGAATTGTACACATAAATTGAAATCCTGTTGACAAATACGTTATAAAACTATTTAAGCAAGAATTGTTCGTATTGGAAAGTAATCTGTTAAAAGGTATTGTAAAGCAAATGCTATGAGATGCGCACTTAAGAAAGTAATAAAGAGTTTTGGATTATGTATTGTTGAAATGAAGGGTAAAAAGAATCTGATAAGTATAATTAAAAGAATTATTCCCCTTACATTTTATAATAACTCAGTTACAAGTTTTAAATAATACTTAAAGAAATCTTATTTTATTCCCTTTCAGAAATGTTCAGAGAACGTCAAGTACTATCTAAAGTATTTCGCTAATTCCTAATAATTCTCTAATTTAAAATGAACCGAATAGAGCATTAATTATAAATTGACTTACATTTTTCGATTTAAAAGATGCCTCAGAAGCCAAAAAATTATGTCATATTTAAGAAAGTATTTTAGGAAGAAGCTCTATAAATAGAAAAGGAATAATGCATAATTTTAATATTAATAATACAATAAACTTTGATCTTAATTTTTGTATCTTAACGGAATAAAATCGAATTACCTTAATTTTTTTTCTGATGTAATTAACGAAAACTTGTGAAAATATTTTCATTCAAATTAAGCCCTTCTGAGAAAACTGTCCTGTGAAAAGTATAGCATTTAATTCCGTTCAGAATGAATTGTTGTTTAAAAATATGTTGTTTTCATATACTTAGGATTCTGAAGTGTTGTAGAAAAAGAAAATATGTACATTTATATGTATATTTACGACGTAATTACAAAATATTTACATCCGAACGCGTCAAATCCCATTGAACTCAATGGTAAATGACCCAATGTTTTGGTCACCACGTAGGGATCGTCAGTGCTTCAGAGCAGTGTACGGGAGAAACTTGTTTAGGGCAACTCCATCTTACTTCCTACCTCCATGGGTAGAACGACGTTTACCCATGGAGTTACCGTGCTTACCGTTCAGTTACCGTGCTTACCTTGCATCCAAAAAGCAGTGCTCCAACCAGATACGTTGCTGGACATTAGTACAGGATTGGTATGTTCTTGATTTAGAGATTGTTTCCCGATCCAAGGCCTTTGTAGTCTTAAGTGGTTGTACTTGTACTATATCCATTTGAATTGTAAGTTCCAATTATTTGCTGAAAGAGGTCAAGGAACGTTTTTTGTTTTATATTGTTTTAATTCAAACTTCACCAGTCATGAGAAAATACAGTTCATAACTTTACTTTCAGATCCACCAGCGGCCGAGCAGTAAAGTCACTGAAACTGGTAGTTTTAGCTGAGCACTGGTGGTAGTTCAATCCGGGTTTCGATTCCCGGCGAACCTGCTATCTACATAAGCATTTTTGTGTTTTTCCTCATGTGTAACGTGGATACGAGCCATGCTCCCTTAAAAGTCTTCCACGAGGCATCACTGCCGTTGGCAAATACTATTGTGCGCGACGCAGTAATCAAGACTGAAAAAAGATCTTAGTTGCTTGTGTGGTTTGTGCTTTAACGGTTAGTTTAAGCTACAGACTAGCTCGCATCATATCTTTAGAGTTACACTGAGGGGTGAGGGTTTTATTTATCAACTTAGTTAATTTGTAAGACACCCTCAAATCATTACAAGAACTCAAAATCTAACAGAAATAGAACTCTGGTAACTTGTGGGTAATCATAACGCACGATCAAATAAAATTAAATGCTAAATGCAAAATCAACATTACATTATTATTAAACTTTACCTCCTACACCTAGACGCATTTCTAAATGTTCAGGAAGCAGTGACGCCTAGCAGGAGTTAAACCGATAAATTAAATCTGAAATAAGGAAAGCTAAAAGCACAATATGGGTCAGCTTAAAAATGCTACCAAACGGTCTTCGAAACCTCAAGAACGTTTGAATTTATTTATTCTTCAGTTAGTTTTCATTCTGGTAGAAGTTGATGAAAGTTAAAGGAATACTCAAAGAATAAGATACTTAAGCTAATTAAAATAAAACTTTACAAATGCCTTTGATAAATGTAAGGATTGTAATGAAGTGACAAAACAAATAATTACTTTGACAAAAAAGTGACTTGAAGAGTATTTTATTTTGGAATATTTGGATTCGTATAAAAATGCCGTGTCGTTGCTCAGCATTTTGATAAAAATAAAAAGAGTTCTTTTTTTTTTTAATGTAAGAATGAAGCGAATTAAAATTAATTATTAATGCTTTATTTTTTAAATCTTATTTTCAGAGTGCAGTATATACCTGCAGATACGTCATTTACAGAAATATCGCCAAAGAACTCTTTCCGACAGTTGCAAAAGTAAGATTAAAATACTTCTTTATTGTAGTTGAATTCTTACTTTAAATAATATTCAGAAAAGAATTTCATTGTCAGAAATTTTAATAAAAATATTTAAACAGAGAAAATAATTGCAAAATTCAGTTTCTGACCCTGAAATGTGTTATTAGTAGTAATCCTGGTTAATAAAGTTCTTTCTAATTACCTTAAAGACCTTGTAAACTAAAAAAGAAAAGAAACTGACTGTCAACTAGGGGTAATTTGCGTATTATTATTATTATTAGACCAGAAGGGCTATTAGTCTCGAAATGGCATTTTGCGTCGGTTCACTATAAACGACGCATCACCTTTTTAAATTTTTGTCAACAAATATTATCGCCCTGTATGATATTCAATGAAGAAATTAAATAATGAAGAGTCTGCATAAATGTATGCATGTTTTTCGCATTGTGAAAAAACAATGGTACCTATAGCCATCAAATTTTGAGTAACGTATTCCTCCACCCAAATATGGTCACCTGGAAGCCAGAATTTGGAATTTGTTTTATTATATATTTCATATTTTGTAAAAATGTATACGAAATTTTGATTAACAAACTCAGAGCGAGCAGTAGCAACACTGCATTTTTAACAACATTTAAAAACATTTTTATCCTCAACTAGGGAGACTGTCTAGCGGAAATTCTATTTTTAAATATTTTTAGCCCAAAGGCACATTAGCTCAAATGCTCTCGAAACAGTATGTGTATTTAAGTGGGGAAAAATGTCGCTTTGGGCACAGTATAAAATCCGAAAGCTTTCAGTTTTTTTTTTCGGAGGGGGGGGAAGGAAGGTGTAGTCTATCGTTAAAGCTGTGGCAAAAGAAAACATTATTTTACGATGTGCTCCTTTTAGATAATGAAAATTCTGGTAATTTTTTATCTACGAATTGATGACGAAAGTTATTGAAGGTTAGTATTATGTTTATTATGTTATCACACTTTCTAGCCAAAGAGAGATTATAGAAATAGAAAGTTAAGAAAATTATAGAATTTTAAGCCCAAAAAAAGCTGGCTTTTTTTCGGTTAAAAGAGCGTTAGTTGGAGCCAAACGTAAAAGTTTGCCTGGAATTTGATTAGAAATTGCAATGGCAGCCGTAATGATATGCACTTAACTACCACTGAATAAGGGATAGGTTGTCAATAACGAGTTGGACCTTCTCTGGCCTTTATAATGTCTGCCAAACGACAAAGCATAGTTTCAATAAGTTTTTAGAAGCATTCTACGGGAATAGCTTGCCAAACATCGATAAAGCTGTCTATAATTTAGGAAGACTCGCTAGTGTTGTGTGATGAGGTTTTAAACCTTTCTCCAAAACGTCTGAAAGATGCTCAGAGCTTTTAAGTAGCCAGTTTATGACAGAGGAGTCAGAAGAACGCTCATCCAACCAAGCAAGAGCCAACCGGGACCCTGTGAGAGGAGCAGTTATCTTGCTGGGATACTCCATTTCTGTGTGAATGACAGGATAACATAAATGGGTGGAGATCATAGCCCATGTACTCTACATACCGAATCATATTGAGGGAGGTTGCTACAAGTACCAAAGAACCCAAACACTGCCAAGAGAAAACACCCCAGACCATGATTGAGTCACCATGGCTTTGCACAGTTCCAATCTGCCATACAGGATCATAGCTTCATGAGTCTGACATCATATTCTCAGCCTGCCGTCGGTATTAGCTAGTCAGAATCGAGACTCATCACTCCTTGCTACTCATTTCAAGTCCACTAGAGTCTATTCTCTGTATTCTCTTGCCCAGGCAAGAAGTGCAGCTCGATAGCATGTGCATTTAGCAAAGGTACTCACTCTCGTGGATCTACGGCTTTCGAAGTCCATATGTTCAAGCGAGCGTTGAACGATCCGTTTTTTGACTATACAAATGTCGCCCTGATTCAGCTGGGTGGTAATGTGAGATAATGTATGGCTTCGTTGACTATGTGCAATACGGCTGAGTGGTCTCACAACACACTTCTTCTAGATTAATTGTCCTTTGCAATTTGCCCGATTCGCTAGTTCTTTTTCCCATCATCCGTGTATTCTCGGTATGCCCTTGACTCTATCGACCTTGAGAATTCTAGCCCGCTGAGGATTTTGGAAATTGAATGGTCCACGTGTCGAGTGCCTGCTATCTGTCCGCGATGGAAGCTGTCTAAATCAGAAGTTTTACCCATACTGGTAAATGAAAAGACTGATTAACAACAACCGTATTACTAGCTATATGTGCATTGTATATAATATATTGTATATATATATAGCTTCATGAAAGTAATTAAATATAAAATGAATTTAAAAAGAACAAAATATTTTTACCATATTAATTTCAAATGATAGATAAAGGATTATTATAGCATTGCTGAAACCATTTGCTTCTTCCCATAACATAAATTCAGTTAAGAAAAAAAAAATTTAACTGATGGCGGGCTGTGTTATCTTGATGTTTATTTCTGTATTTTACTGCGTCAAATCATGCCATCCATATCGGTTCTTTCGTTAAAGGAGGAAAAAATTAAAACACTTAGTAAAAAAGTAATTGACAATCTCGTAGTAAAAAGTAATTGGTTCGATGTTCATTCTTGCCGCTTATTTGTAATGACGTCATTGCATATCTATGCGGAACATGAAATAAAAAAACCACCACATTTGGCCTTTTGCCGCTCCGATTGGCGCCGCATTAACCGAAAAATATAAAAAAAAATTAATTAAAATTTCTGCAGTATACAGTGAAATTTTTTCAATTTCATATAAATATTTCATTTGAAAATTAAGTATAAATCGCTGGTTGCATTAACGTTCATATAAGTAGAAGGTGAATTTATGAAGACTTCTTACCGTCGGACCTGGTTAATGGTATCAAATCTTTAATTCTGTACTGAATTGAATGTATTGTCATTTTTTTAATTAGTTAAATAATCAATGAAGCCATTCTTAATAAATATATTATCTGAAGCTTAAATACATTTGTGCCCACCAGTGGCCGAGCGGTGAAGTCGCTGAACGCTGGTAGATCGGCCCAGCATTCGAATCCTGGCGAAAGGGACGGCTGCATGGGCGTTTTCGTGGTTTTCCCCATGTGTAACGTGTATACGAGCCAATTTCCTTCGAACGTTCTCCATGAAGGCCTGTTTTCAATTAGGCAGATAGCCGTCGAGTGCTTTACCATAATTAATAAACCAAACGAAACCAAACCTAAATATATTTGCAATAAAAACTCTGTTTGTTGTATTTTCTCCACCCTGTATATAAAAAAATGTCTTTTTGTATGAAGTGTATTGTTGAATTTTAGTTTCTAAATGGATAAGAAACTATCCTTATTCATGTCTCTTTTTTTTATTTCTGAATGATCAATTTAGGCCTCATGCCAAATTTGATGAAGAAGAAGACGAGTACTTTGATGTTCCTGAATCAGAACCGCCTGAGCTTCTGTCATATACTCCATCTACACTCGTATCCGAAATAAAGATGCCAACACCTTTTCCCCATGCGTCTCCTGAGGCGGAGAGGTTACGAAAACAAACAGACAACAAAATATTGCCCAAATTACGACCTGCAGAAACCAAAATTTCTGCTATCCACTTACCAGCGAAATCTGCTGCAGTTCCTGTTACCGTGCCGCCTACTTCTGTGGGATCTTTCGTCAAAGGGTTAGACGTATCCAGTATGGTCAGCAAAGTGAAACCAACAGTGCCTTTTAAGCCCACGAGAACTTCTCTATCGCCCAAAGATGCCTTGCCTGCCAAAGGTGACAGTTTTTCTTCGTTTCCGAACTCTTGTTAATGCCTTGTTTGTATGCTAGAGTTAACTTTTATGGGATGTGTATGAAGCTTAATTCCTTCCACAAGATTAAACGCATTTGAAAGCAAAGCATACGTATAGAAACCTTTGTAAACCAAAGTAGCGTAAACCGAAGATGCAGGTATCATTAGTTTGTACTGAAGACGTCTTCTGCATTCCGAGACCAACCAAATCAAAACACATGACAGTGTTTAAAATAAGAATAGAGACATTATCACCCCTTGAAAGGCTTTGAGGAATTTTAGAAGCTGGTCAGCGAAGCAGTATAGGGTGATTTGAGAAGCAAAGAGGGCACACATGGAATATTTGGTTGCTTAAGCACTTTTGAAACAAACATTAAAATATTCACTCGAAAGTACAAATATAACAGTTATACATTTTTATAGGAATCAAACAAAAATTATGTTATTCGACTCTTCACACAAGCTAGTCCAATTTGCGTATACTATCAGTTTTTTAATTCCAATGAATTATAATTTAAAAACTATCAGTCTAATATTCTGAAAATATTACCACAATCCGTCTTGCAGGGTATTGAGTATGTCCAACAGTGTTGCCAAAACTTTTCGAGCTAAAATAGCAGGAGAAAAATCGAAAAAAAGTAGCACGTCGCGTCAGATAGCATGTGATTTTTTTTTTGTAAAGTCATAGGTTCGTGAGCTTACATGATTTCTAACGTCATCGCAGTCTTTGTGAATTTCTTTATTTGCGGGTTGTAATTCGATTCTTTGTCATTTTATTATGTACGTTAGTTTTGACGAAAGTTTAAAACTACACTGCTAATTTTCTATTGTTTATATCACCATTTCTTCTCTTATTCTAATCTCAGTTAATTTGTTATTTTCTAGTGCCCAATTTCACTTCATCATATCGTGATTACCATCAGACGCTATTTTCTTTCATATTTAAATTTGTTTCGCCTTGTAGCTTAAAAATGATGTTGCTTTGATTTTAAAGTATTTTGATTGTTTAATACATTTTAATCAGGAGAATCGAAGGTCGAAAACATGCTCGTACCCATCTGTAAAAATTGGAATTAACATTAAAATTGTGAGTCACATGAAATACTTGGGTGTTTACACTGATGCCGACTTACGTGGCATGAAACACATCGCGCAAATTAAGCAACGATTGCACAAGTTGTCTAATTCATTTAACAGAACCACAGCAGCCAAATGGGCAGTATCGTTTCGGATGCTAAGAAGCCTTGATTGGGGCCTCTGTTTGGGGTTCTTATATCACAAAATGTATGAGCCTGCAGCTCAGATCTGCGCAACAACCTCTTTTCCAACTGAGCATCTGTCGGGAATATAGAACATCCCCTACCAATGTGCTAAACGTCTTAACATGGTCTTCCATCCATCTCCCTGTACAACGAGAAAATGCTATAGTCCGCATACTTAGACTGCACACTAATACATCTCTTTGGCACAGAGAATTCATAAGCACTGACTATGAACGCAATAGCCCATTAGTGCCTTGCCACCCAGCAGAATTCGATCTTGATACGAAACTACAAGCTTCATCAGCTTTTGAGTCATATGTTGTATATACTGATGGAATCAAAGGGGGATCAAGGTACTGGCTGTGGCTTCTGTATGATACGAGGTACCAGTACTGTGTTTATCTGGGCACGAAAACTAAATTCTCCCAATGAAGTGTTCTAAGATGAGCTTATAGCACTTATAGCAGCAGTTTACTACAGCATTCTAGTTGGTCACGAACTAACTCTATATTCTGACTCAGCGTCAAGTCTCCACTCTATACGGGGTTGGAAAAGTCGGAACACAATAGTCAAGGAGATTCAGAGAATGCTACTTTCCTTGCCGACAGATATCAGACCGAAGCTCTAATAGGTCCGTGCACACACTGGAGTACATACGGCAATGAAAAAGTAGATGAAATGGCACAAAATGGGACTTTTTCTGAAATAATATACCAATTTTTTTTTCCATATTTCAATTCTACGACTCAAATAACGCCAAACTACCAAGTTTTGTAAAAAAATCACACGAGTAGTTTTAAAAAAATTAGCTCTCAAAATTTTAGCTCCTCAATGTTAATTGAGTTTGGTATATATTTATTAATCTCTTTTTTTTTATTAAACTTATTTGATTCTTCCTTTCACATTTCGAAATTTAAGTTCATTCCGAATAAAATTCAGCAAATTTTTATGATTTATTTTTAAAATTTGTATTTTTAAATTATTTTCATATATTTTTCGAAAAACTTTTTGAATTATAATCTATAAAATTTTTACCATCGTCTTAAAGTAAACGTATTTCTAAGCATACATACAAAAGATTCTGTTTTTTTTTTTTTTTTCAAAATTCCGAAAATATCTGAGTTCTATATTGGCACGTTTTGAAAGTTGGCATATTTGTTGAAAGCGATAAAACATCAAATATGGTTTAGACACTTTGCTAAAATTATTTGTCGAATCGATGTGACTTTTTTCCCGCTCATGCACAATGTAAAAAGGTAGGAACGAGATGCCTTTTTTTCCGCTTCAAGGAAAAGGAAAATTGGGTGCCACTTATTAAGAAGTTCGCCAAGTGAATTATTTCTGGTGCAAACTGAAAAAAATTGCGGCAAGATAAACTTTTGAATTTCTCCGTAAATTTCACACCAAATTTTACAAAATGTAATATCTAGGTATAATTTGAGTCGTAGAATCGAAATACGGAAAAAAGAATTGGTATGTTATTTCAGAAAAAGTTCCATTTTGTGTCAAAATAACTATGTTAGAAGAATATTAATATAATATACAGTGGTGGTCAAAATTGTGGACACTTTTGGAAATTTTTATGTTTTTGAACTTTGTATTTCATACAAAATGTTCGTTTCGCAAAAGCAAACTTGTAAATATTTTAAAGAAAATTTATTACGAATTCATACAAAACACAAAATCAATTATTTGCAATACAAAAGTTATATGTACTTTAATATAAATAAAAAAACCAAGTGGAAGGGTTTGTAATGTCTAGCTTTCTTTTCTTGCTGTTATTGTTTAGAACAATCAAATGTTATAAAGCCGTAAAGCTGACATTGTTTACACTTGAACAATTTTTTGCTTTGTTCTGTAGAAGGAGACCTGTTCTTATATACTGCAATTAAGAAGGATTTTTGTAAAATTTTAATATTTAGTCAAGCAGACATCAAAAAAGAGTAGTTAGAACCTAAAAAGAGATGTATCTTAATTTTGTTACTAGAAAGTCTTTCCTATGCTGAATTGCAAGACAGGTGGGTGGTTCAGTGACGCATCTGAGTCCGAAAGTTTGTTTACGATATCAGGAGACAAAATTCATAAAACAAAGAAGGAAAAGGCCGAAAAAGGTGCACCACATCATTGATGACAGAAGAATAAAAGACTATGTCTCCAAGATAGAAAATATCATTAGCGGCCATCAACAGTGATCTGATGCTGGTGTTTCTGTCAATTCAAAACAGTCAGGAGAAGATTAACAGATGTTGGACTGAGAGGGTAGAATTCCACAAAAGCCCTTATCTAATTTAGCAACGAACAAAAGGACTACAGTAGAAAAGGAACACATTAATTGGCCAGATGATCGGTGGTCACAGTTATATGGTGATGAAATAAGAATCGTTATTCGTGTGAGGGCAAACATAGTAAGACGTACAATAGGAGAAGAGCTACATCCTGACTGCATAAGCACTGTAAAGAAACCAGTTGTTATGTTTGGTTCATTCATGTCAGCAGATGGTATTGGTCGCCTTCATGTCATCGATGGAACACTGAATGCCAGAAAATACATTGGCATTATTCTAGAACCAAAACTTCTACCTTCCATCAGAGATCTCTTTCCCAACAATGCTTCGTTTATTTTTCAGCAGGATTCTGCTCCTTGCCACACGGCCAAAATATCGAAAGCGTGGTTTCGTACAAAGAGCATTAAATTGTTGTCATGGTCAGGAAACAGTCCTGACCACAATCCTATCGAAAATTTGTGGCACCGTTTGGAAACTCTTCTCCGAATGATGCGCACATCAAATAAAAGGGAACTAATTGAGGCTATAATTGTTTCCTGGCATCATGTAATAACGAAAGAAGAGCTTAAAACTCTTGTCAGCTCAATGAAACGTTGATGTGAAGCTGTAATCAAAAATAAAGGGTACCCTACTGAGTACTGATAACTCATCGCAATCATCACTATCTAATGTATATCGATAACTATTATCGTTTAACTTTTTTTTTTTTTTTTGTATTGCAAATAATTGAGTTTTGTGTTTTGTATTGACTTCAGTAATAAATTCTCTTTAAAATGATGTATACAAGTTTGCATTTTGTGAAACGTAACGTTTTCTATAAGCATACAAAGTTCAAAAACATAAAAATTTCCAAAAGTGTCCACAATTTTGGCCACCACTGTATATCCTAATTCGCGCTTTCGAGACAGGAAAAACGCCGTTTGAATTTTGTCAATCGACCCAGTAGAGCCGAAGCTATAGAACTGTCCCTTTTTTAGTTCGAAGGGGCTTTTTCCCTGAAGGACTATTGTTTCGTTTTGCGATTTTGCGTTGAATCACTATAAATGTCCGTTTCACTTTTCAAACTGTTGCCACCAAATGTTAGAATCCTGCATTATATTTGAAGAAATTAAATAATGAAAAATCTGCATAAATGTAAATATATTTCTCGCATTGTGATAAAACAACGGTACATAGAGACATCGATTTGTGAATGGCGTAATCCTCCTACGAATATGGGCATGTGGAAGGCTACATTTGAAATTTGGAATTTGTTTTATTATCGATTTCATATTTTGTAAAACTTTAACGAATTTTTGATTAACAAAGTCAAGGATTTCAAATCGAGCAATAGCAACACTCTAAAATCTGTTCTTTTATACCTCTAACTTGCTTTCAAAATAATGTTCAGCAATTCATTTTCAAATCATAACTTCGGTATTGTCCTTTTAATTGTAC